GTCACTGGAACAGGATTATGAAAGATTTCTTGCACTAATAGTGGAAATTCACAATGTGAAGATGTTGACACCTCTACCATCACTAGATCATTCACCCTCTATAGACCATGAAATTTTATGATTTTCATGTGTACATTTAAGTGAACTGCAGTATAATTTTGTCCAGTTTTAATTTAATTAAAGATTCTTCAGATAACTGACAAGTAGCTTAAAACAATTCCTGCAAAGAAATTAGACTAAAGATCTTAATGGAGCCAAGTAAATGACAATTAAAAAAAGAAAAAAAGGTAGTATTCATATTTTCCTATTACTTTCACCAGGTCTGTGATAGCCATCTCAAGTAAATTAGAAGAACATTTCAAATGAATAGTTTGGGTGCTTTTCATGATGTTTAAAAATGAGAAAGAATAAGCTATATTTACTCACACATTTATCATTCTGGCAATTACTTTATGCAGATATTTACACAAGGAAATTCACACAATTTTCCCATTACTTTATGTAGATCCACCAATGCCCATCTAGTATCTTTTTCCTTCTGCCTAAAGAACTATATTTAACATTTCTTGTAGTACAGTGCTGCTGGTCATGAGTTCTCTCAAATTTTGTATGTCTGAAAGTTTTATTGTGACTATTTCTGAAAGGTGTTTTTGCTAAGCACAGAACTCCAAGTTGACAGTTACCTTCAGCCTTAAAGATATTCTCTTTATCACTGGTTTTCATTAAACTTATGATGTGCCTTAAGGTGGTCTCCTTTATGTTTCTTATGCTTAGTAGTTGCTGAGTTTCTTGATCTGTGGGTATATAGTTTTCACCAAATCTGAGAAGTTTACAGCCATTATTTCATCAAATACTTTTTGTACCTGTTATTTCTTCATCTCCTCTGGGGACTCCAATTACACCTAAGAAAGACTGCTTGGTATTAACAAGGAGGGCACCAATCACATTTTTCCCAGTCTTTTTTCTATTCATTTTGGATACTTTCTATTACTGTGTCTTCAAGGTCACTGATTTTTTTCTTCTGCAATTGCCAGTATGCTGGTAATGTCATTCAATGTTTTTTTTTTTTAAATTTCAAGTACTGTATTTTTTAATTGCTAAAAGTCAATTTAGGTCTTTTTTAAATATTTCACATTTCTCTCATCATCATGTTCATGTTTCCTTCTACCTTTTTTAGCACATGGAACAAATTTATAATAGATGTTTTAATAATGTCCATGTCTATCATTTCTGGATCTGTTTCTTTGATTGATTTTACACCTTGTTATGGATCTGTATTTTCCCATTTCTTTCTATGCACGGTCATTTTTGAGCAAATAATAAAAACTGTGAATAGTACACTCTTAGAGTTCTAAATTTAGTTGTATTCAGTGAAACAGTATTAAACTTTGTTCTGGAAATAATTATATCTGTTTCTAACGTAGGTGCAGAGAAGCCCTTAGTCTAAGTTCTGAGTCTGTCTTTAGTCTACTTTTTCATGGACTCTATCTGATGTCCTAGATATTATGAGGTCTTTGAACTCTGGGTTGTGGAACACGAACTATTTGTGAGTTCCAGAAACTGCTCTGCCGACTGCTATCCAGCAGTTATTTCTCCAGCTATGAAAGTTTCCTTTCATGCATGTGCAGATCAATACTGAGCCTCACAGTGAGCCTTATATGGATCTCTGAACACTGTCTTTACAGCTCCCTCCACTCTGATTCTCTGTCCCAAAAATTGTAGCAGCCTTGGCCTCTCTGTCTCAACAATCAGCACAACAACAAGCTCTGTTTCGCTTTCTAGTCTGCTGCCTATAAACTGTATCCAGGCACAAAGATTAGGTTATTTGATCACCTAAAATCATCTCTTTCAGTAGATCACAGTCCTAAGCTGCCTGTTGTTCAATGTCTATAAATCATTATTTCATATATTGTGTCCAGTGTTCTAGTTGTTTAAGTCAAGAAGGTAAACTCAGTATCTGTTATTCTTTCATGGCTGGGATATGGAACCGATAAATGTTAATAAATATGCATCGTCTTCCATTTTGTTTTTAAGATCAATGGACAGATTTCAGGGAATATGGAAAGTCATTTACTGAATTTTAATAAAACCCTATCTACTGGTGGAAAGGAATATAAGATTATTTGTAGACAGCAAAGCCACCAATATACTTCTTATCTCTGGATCTAAATATCTTTTAACATGAGTTTTGCAGGTAGGAAAGATGTTACAACCAAGTATTAAAATAAACTGATCTAAGATTCAAATCTGACAATACTGCTGTTGGTGTTGTTGTTGGGTGCTGTTGAGTTAGTTCCAACTCAGAGCAACTCTACATACAACAGAACAAAACAGAGTCTGGTCCTGTGCCATCCTTAAAATTGTTACCATGGTTGAGCCATCATCACACCCATTTTGGTGAGAGTTTTCTCCTTTTTCACTGAAACCTCTATTATACCTAGCATGACTTCTCCAGGGACTGGTCCCTTCTGAGAATATGACAAAAGTAGGAAAGATGAAGTCTGGTCATTCTTGCTTCTAAGGAATATTCCAGCTGTACTTCGTCCAAGACAGATTTGTTCATTCTTCAAGTAGTCCAACACATTCAATATTCTTCGCCAACACCATAACTCAAATGCCTCAATTCATCTGTGGTATTCTTTATTCACTGTCCAGCTCTCACAGGCATATGAGGCAAATGAAAATACCATGGCTTGGGTCACAAGCACTGTAGTCTTCAAAGTGACATCATCTTAGCACTTAAATACTTCACATCCTAATATGTCATTTAATTTCTTGACTGCTGCTTTCATGGAAGTTGACTGTGGAACCAAGTAAAATGAAATTCCTGACAACATCTATCTTTTCTCCATTTATCATGATGTTGCTTATTGGTCCAGTTGTGAGGACTGTTTTATGTTGAGGCACAAGTCATATTGAAGGCTGTACTCTTTGATCTTCACTAGTAAGAGCTTCAAGTCTTCACTTACAGCAAGCAAGGTTGTGCTATCTGCATGTCATAGATTGTTTATGAGTCTCGCTCCTATCCTTGTGCTGCATTCTCCTTCATAGAGTCGTTTCTCAGATTATGTGCTCAGCATAAAAATTTGAATAAACATGGTGAAAGGATACAACCCTGACACACACCATTCCTGATATTAAACCATGTAGTATCTCCTTGTTTTGTTCAAATGACTGCTTCTTGGTCTTATGTATAGGTTCCTCATGAGCACAATTAAGCACTGTGGAATTCCCATTCTTCACAATATTATCCATAACACAGTCAAATTCCTTTACACAGTCAATAAAATACAGGTCAGTATCTTTCTGGTATTCTTTGCTTTCAGCCAAGATCCATCTGTTATCAGCAATGAATTCTTCAATGAATTCCTTTTCTGAATCGGACTTGAATTTCTAGCAGTTCTTCAGCAAAACTTTCCTTGTGTGTGATATTAATGATGTTGATCAATAATTTCTGCATTCTGTTAGATCATCTTTCTTTAGAATGGGCACAAATATGGAGCTCTTCCAGACAGCTGGCCAAATAGCTATCTTCCAAATTTCTTGGAATAAATTAGTGAGCACTTCTAGTACTGTATCCATTTGTTGAAACATCTCAATGGGTATTCTGTCAATTCTTGGGGTCTTATTTTACACCAATTCCTTCCATGTAGCTTGGACTTATTCCTTCAATACTATTGGTTCTTGATCATATGCTACCTTCTGAAATGGCTCAATGTCCACCAATTCTTTTTGGTACAGTGACTCTGTGTAGTCCTTTGTATTCCTTCCATCTTCTTTTGATGCTTCCTGCATCATTCAATACTTTGCCTGCAGAATACTTCAATAATACAACTCGTGGCTTGAATTTTTCTTCAGTTCTTTCAGCTTGGGAAATGCTCATTGTGCTCTTCCCAGTGAGTATAACAAAGAAGGAAATTGAGATCAGAGTTTTTACTACTCAGGGCCATAGGTAATTAATGGCTGTATCAGAAGAGACTAATTTGAAATTTAGAAATGTTTTTAAGTCGCTTCAGTATCTTAACTAAAAGAAAAATTCTCAAATGTAAAAAAAATAAGGGAATACAAAAGCCTTCCATGTTGAACACAAAACATGTGAATGAGATGAAGCTCTGAAGGTGTATGACATATGCAGGGAACATAGTGTGATTGGTTCATTTAATGAATTAAAAGGGTGGAAAATGACACCAAAAATTTAATTTAGGAGTCAGTTCCTAGAGGACCCTGAAGTTTGTACTTTTGATTTTGATCTAAAAATGAATCTAGCAACAATGTGAAGTATAGTCAGACAAGAGAGTGAAACGAGAGAAACTGGTCAAAAGGCTACAATAACACTTAGGGCAAGAGATAAGGATGGGCCAAAACTAAACACTGGCAGTATAAACAAAGGCATTCTAAAACAATATTCAAGTTCTTCCACGAAAATAATCTAACTGACTAGAGACAACTATTGAAGATCTCTCTGTATAAAAGAAAGGAGGTATATTCTCCAAATTACCAACAACAAAATGAGTAATGTTTTAACAACATACATATAGTACCTTGGAACTTTTGAAATGTACATGACAAATATATACAGTCAAATTAAAGTAATACATAATAAGTCACTTCGATATTCACCAGGAACTTACTCTATACTGCTCTAAGTAAATTTTTAAAAAATTATTTTAACCAAGATGCTCTAAAATTAATAAAAGTATAATTGTTTAATGTCTTCTTTTCTTATACATTCTTTGAAATAACTATGGTCAAACACTACAACCTTAGTGATGTAGTAGTTTAATTTTTATATGAACTTAAATTTGTATCAATTTCAGTAAAAGCCTAATTTCTTATCAATCTTGATAAACTAGTCTCTCCCGAAAAACGTTAAGAAAGTGAAAGTAAATATAGAGAAAAACCTGTTAAAAATATTGGCTCACTGTGGGGAGAGATTTTTCTTCACAATGACAATAATGAAAACAATTATTTTTCTGACAGTAGAAGAAAAATAGCCTCACCTTTTTCTTCAGGCTTTATAGGAAAATACTTCTTCTCTGTAGTTATTAGCTCAGGCTTTGGAGCTACGGGCAAAGAAGAGTTTATTTTTGTATGACTACTAAACAGGAAAGTTTGGTTTAAAAATCACATCAGATGACAATATGGTATAACAGAAAGAAAACTGTACCAGAATCACTGGAATCCTGGACCAGCTGCTAATTACCTATGGCCCTAAGCAAAAACTCTGATCTTGGTCCCCTTCCTTATCATATCCTCTTGTTCATATCATCTACAGTACTGATGTACAGCACAACTTTCAGTTATGATGGAACTGTTCTAATTCTGCAATGTCCAGTATTTGACCACTGAGCACCTGAAATGTAGTTTGTGACTAAGAAACTGAATTTTTAATTTTATTTAATTTTCATTTATTTTAAAAGACCCATGTGGCTAGTGACTACCAAACTGAAATATTACAATTTTACAGTAAGCTTTTAACACCAACCTCTATAAAAATTACTTTTGAGCTTTTCTTGCTTGGGGATACATCAGCAAATACAAGGTTGAAACCATGGGGAAGAGAAAGTTGGATTATTTAAAGAATAGAAAATCTTTCAAGAATTTTTTTTTTTTTTTTAATGTACTATACTTGTGAAAATCAGAAACTCAGGGATAGATCTTATGGAAAGAAATAGGGAGCCAGATTATCAAACTTTATATCTGAAAGATATTTCTAGGTGTACCGTAATTTATTAAACTGTTAAAACAAAACAAAACCTCTTCTAATTTATTGAACCCTTATAATATTATCTCAAGGAAAAGGGTATAAATTTAGTATTTATTTGCAACATTAACAAATGGATTTGATCTGAAAAGGAAGAGTAACTAATTGGCCAGGTCAATATATTAAGTTTACTAAAACAGTTTTGAACTTGATCAATTTTATTTTTAAGAACAAAGTATCCTAATTATATTCAAGGATCCTATTTTATACCATTTGTACTTTAAAAAAAAATCAGACATATTAGTTCATGTGAACACTTCCAATTTTACATATTTTCAATTTTTGTATAGCATATCATATATTTTTGCCAATAAAAAATTGTTTAAATTTGATTCTATTTCATCATTTTAGCATTTAAAAAAGAACAATCTGAATATTGTGTTTCTTACATACCTGGACCCTTAACAGGAGGTGGTGGTTTCTTTGGTTTCTATTAAAATGATAATAGTTGAACATTATTTATTAATTATTTATATTAATCGTTAATAATCTAAAGTACATGTACATCTCTCTTCATCCCATCTATTACAAAATGCTAAGATCTTAACATTTCCACAAAAGGTCACTGACAAAAAAATATTTATTCCATTAGAAAAATGCCTCCTTGATTAAAATTCAGTTAAGTATTTCAAGTTATCATTGGGTTAGATAAATCTAAAAACTTTACTGATTAGCAAGAATATTTGTCATGTCTCTTCTAATTTAAAATTGTAAATAAAAAGGTCGCAGTTTGAACCAACCAGCTGCTCTGCAGGAAAAGATGTGGCAGTCTACTTCCATAAAGATGACAGCCTTGGAAGCTCTATGGGGCAGTTCTACTCTGTCCCATAGTGTCACTACAAACTGAAAGGGACTCTGCAGCAACTAGTTTGGTTTAGTTGTTAAACAGAGGTAAAATGGTGCTTAACCAATGAAGGATTGTTAAGGAGAAAATGAGGAAGGGAAAGAGAGAGACTCTAGCAAAGGAAGAGCCCAAGACAGCTAAGTTTCCGTAACGTAACCTGCAGTAATTAACTAAATAAAAACTACAAAGGGTAAAAAGTCTTACATTGGCTTAAACCAAATATGGCAGTTTCCTTTGCTGTATGTGTGTGCTATCTTCCTCTCTATCGAAAAACTAAACTGGATCTATGTCATTAGGAAAAGGGGAGGGAAAATCAAGTTGTAGAAAGGCAAAAGATCACTGATGAATGACTCAGCATTACTTTTTTCTCTCTGAAAAGTGAGACAGAAATATTAAACCTCAAAGGAGGAAAGACTGGTTCTTGCCCTATGAAGAATCTGTTGACCCAATAACAGTAATCCACAGAACCTTACAAAAATCTAAAACTTTTCAACAAAATTGAATAAAAATATATTTCTCCCAGGAAAGTACTAATTTATTCAACTACCAAAGTCAGTCATCCATCCATCTATCCATCTATCTACCTACCTACCTATCTAAGCAAAGTAATGAAATCTGAGTTTAATTTTCAATATGTTATTAGGTGTCAAAGAGTCTGTTTCAACTGAAAGCAACTCCATGTGACAGCGCAGAACTGTCCCATAGGGTTTCCTTGGCTGTAATCTTTATAGAGGCAGATCACCGGATCTTTCTCCTTGGTCAGAGAAAAAGTGCAGAGATAAAGCACTGAATTGAAACTTTGTTTTGTTTTACTATAGTTCAAATAATTTTCATATGAATATATAAATCTGGAACCCCTTCATAAAAATTATTCATTAACAATGGAAAAAGAAAACCCTATTTCTGGGGGTTGGGGTGGAAATCACTAAAAGGTTAAGTATTGTCATCATTGACAAAAACTTACTGGAAAGTCTTTATCTTGTTCATTTATCTGAACAGCAAAATTGTCTGGAAATACTCCTTCTTTACCATTAAGTTCACCTTTCCACCAACCAGCTTCTCCAGTCTCCTAAAAGAAACAAAACAAAGAACAAGTAAGACAATGGGAACTAATTTTAAATGGAAAAAAGGTTTACAACAAAATAGTAAAATGATTCCATTACTTTTACCAAAATAAAGCTAAGGGTAAAACATAGTTTATTTTTACTGAACTAAACAGATCATGAAGTCGTCCTAAAAGAAAATGCTTTCCCATATATTACTTTTACCAATAGCTACAAAATTTATTTTTTAAAAAATAAATAATTTTAAAATGCAGTCTACAAGATTTACAGATTCTCAAAAATAGGGGAAAGGGGAGAAGAGAGGAAGGGACAGGAGGGGAACAAGAAGTAGAGGGGGGAAGAGAGGGAAGCCAAAGAAGGCAGAGAGAAAGGAAGGCAGGTAGGTAAGCAAGAAGCAAAGTACGAAAGAAGACAGGCAAGCAGGAAAGAAGGAATTTGCAAACTGTATCTTATCTAGCATTCTTAATTTTTTATAAATAATTAAAATTAATTATATTATTTTTAAAAAATTAGTATTAATCATATTACTTAAAAAATTAATCATATTATTCAGTTGCTTTAGAAATTAATAAGATCATCTATAGTTCCTTCCCAACACCTACTCTTACATGAGAAATTAATCCAATTTGTATGAATATTTAAAGTTACATACCCTTAACCTGTGATAACTAGAAAAATTTCAAAAATTGTTCTTCAAGGTTATAGCAAAAAAAAAAAAAAAAAAAATTAGTAATTTTCCCATATTAAATAGTTATTAAAGGTTCTGCCCCTTACCCACCCATAATATTGGTGGGCTTCCCCCTTTTTTTTTGGCCTCAGAATTCATTCTAATTCTAAGTAAGTATGAATCTCTCTGCTCTGGTGGCACAGTGCCTAAGGTATTTGACTGCTAACCAGAGGTTGGCAGTTCAAACCCACCAGCCACTCTGCAGAAGGAAGATGGAGCAATCTACTTCCGTAAAGATTCACTGCCTCAGAAACCCAATGGGGGTCAGTATGAGTTGGAATTGACTTGATGGCAGTGGTTTTGGGTTTTTTTGTTTTTTGAATTTATGCATCTACCTCATTCTTTGAAATAGCTACATCATATTCTATAGTATGAAGAATTTCTTAGCCATTTACATAGTGTTGGACATTTAAAATTGCTTCCCCATTTTTCTTCTTTTTCTTTTAATATTACAAACAATGCTCCAAATAGTAGATGGGAAAAACAGAACAAGGCAGAATGAGAAGTGAGAACAGAAACCTGGGGATGTGGATTAGGACAGTAGAACAGAATCTGATGGTAAAAATATTCCCAATACATCAACAACAAAAACAGACAATAAAACATTGCTCAAAAAACAATTTTGTGAGCACTTACTATGTGCCAGGTTCTCAGGACCCAGAAACAAGCAAAATAAAGTCCCAGCTCTCTAGAAATTATATCCAACCCAAAAAAACCACAAAAAAACCACCATCACCGAGTCAATTCTGACTCATAGTGACCCCCATCAAGTTTCCAAGGCTGTAAATCTTTACAGAAATAGATGGTGTACTTTTCAAAATGTTTCTATGAATAAAATTAAATAAAGCATTAAAAAACAGGATCATTTTTATCTTACCTTACTTATCAAATGGATTATCTCCCCCTCTTTAAAACTAAGCTCATCCTCATTAGTACCTTCATAGGCAAATAATGTTCTGCAATATTCCTTAGCTGAAATAAAGAATGCAAATAATGTAGCTTATACAAATTGATCATTCAACAGATATATATAAAGGTAAATGTGCACTAGAAACTATGAAAGATGAATTTAATCCTTCTTCTTTAAATTTTAAAAGTTCAGCCAATACTATATTTAATAATAATTTAATTATTCATTCATTCAAGTATTTATTTTCTACCATATTCCAGGCACAGTTCTAACTGCAGGGACATACAGCAGTGAACAAAATCCTTGTCTTCATGGTGCTGACATCTAATAGGATTTAATTACTGTGAGTAAGTAGTATAGTATAACAAATGCCTTCAACAAGCCCAATAATAAATTGGAGAATGCTCCTACTATTCCCAATGTGAAAACTATTCAAAACTTACCTTTAATTCTACCTTCAGTTTCTGTTTTTGTTACCTCTGCACTCTGAGTTTTGGATCCTACTGACTGTATGAGTGAGGGCTAGAATGGAAAAGGATAATATCAGCTATTTTAAGTTAGAATATATGTGGAATTGTTAAATAAAGTTTCCATTTACCATTATTTAGCTTACCCTGAATGGTGCTTACAGTCGGGTTAGTGATACGATCAAAACTCAGCAATGAAAACAATAAAGATCTCAACAGTTCGAAATTCTAATTTTTAAAACTCTCTATCTTAAGACTACATGCTCTTATGCTTATAATACAGCACTATCATTTATTTTTAGATCCTCTAAAATAAATATTAATAGCTCTGAGAACTTATTATGTACCAATCCTGGGCCTAACAACTTCATATACAACTTAATCCTCATGACAATATGCAGTATTATTCATCCTTTTATAGATGATAAAAACAATCAGCCTACAAAAACAGTAATTTGGAAGTAGACCCCAGATTTGAACCTAGAAACACTGACAGTAGAAAGTGTGCTCTTAAACAAAAGCACTGAAGTTCCTCCAGGTGTGACAGAGCTTTAGAAAAGAAAGAAAATCTTTATAACTTCATTTTTGCTATTTGCATGAAAACATTTAATGCTTGCCCTGTTTAACCTTAAAACTATAGCCCTGTAGACGTTTTTCCATTATAATTGATTACAGGAAGTTCTTCACCAGCTATATTTGTGTTTCTTTGAGTTCTTGCCCCAGAAATAACATTACATTTGACCTTAAGTTTCATTAGTTAGAACTCTAAATACACTGCTAATTACCTATCACTGTGTCTTCTGTTTATTTTTCAAGATACTCATTTTAATTTCTCCCAAATTCTAAACACAGTATCTTCCAACCTGATGTCACCCTTCAAACACAGCGAACGTGCTCCCTACTTTATAAATTCTTAGGTCAGTGATCAAAGCAAGTCTCACAAGGCTATCATATGAGGTGACCCTGAAAGTACTCTAGATAGTGGGCATTATCAATAATGGTGCAAAGATTACTAATACAATCGTTATCAAATAAAAGTTATTCAATATAATCTTAAGTTTTAGAGTTGGAAGGCACCCCAGATCATCCAGTCTAATGTTCTTCCTAATGCAGGAACTGCTTCTCCAACATTCCTACCAGTTATACGGCCATTCGGCATAATCACAAAACCCATGAGAATTCTAATCTTTCCTGAATCCTTCGAAACTAAGAATTAATTAGGTCCCAAAAGTCACACACTCAGAGCTAGGAAGGGGGGGGGGGAGGGGGAGTAGAAAGTAGCTCTCTTTCCTGAACCCTGCTATAACATAAGGAAATATGTAGTAAGCAAAAAAATAAAATAAAATAAATGCTGAAAGCAATCACTTTAGGGGAAAACTTTAGAGTGTATCTCACCAATCAAAAGCACAGTCATATAAATAACAAAACTAAAGTAAGTAAGTAAATGCTGAAATACTTTAAACCCTTAACAGTGAAACAAAAAGATGCAAATGAGGACTACAGGTTAAAAAACAACATAAAAGTCTACTATCTGAATCATCAAGGTACTGAAACCACAAACAGATTTTAAATGTTCTAAAGATTGTACCTATTTTTTTCCCCAAAATAAAGCCTTAAGGGTTGATTTTAAAGATTCTTATTAGATCTTAAACTAACAGTATATTCACTTTCATTTATTTCACAATACAAGCGAAATGCTAATAAAAAATAAAAGCCTCCATACATTCAAAAGGAGCTCTGGTAGCGTAGTGCCTAAGGCACTTGACTGCTAACCAGAAGGCTGGTGGTTCAAACCCACCAGCCGCTCCGCGGAAGGAAGACGGGGCAATCTACTTCTGTAGCGATACCACCTCGGAAACCCAAGGAGGGGTCGCTGAGTCGGGTCCGACTCGACGGCACGTAACAACAACAACAACATACATTCAAAAGAGGGAGATTAGTAAATGTAACCACTGGTGACAATCCAGAAGTTAAGTAATGCCTATTTAACTGTGCCGTGTGAAACGATTTTAAACGGCCCATTTTAGGTCTTCTTCAAATATTTATAGATAGATAGAGAGAGACAGATATAGATATATAGATATACAGATATACACACACACCCTTTTCTATTTATAATACTAAAATGTCTGAAGTTTCCATTAAGAAATATTTAAAGTTCCAAAAAAAAGCATTCTAATTTTGTAACATTCAAACATAAACATTATAATAAATTTGAGGAGAAAATCATTTTACATAGCATTCTCTTTCATAAACAAAGTATTTTTTATGACTTACATTTTAAAAAGTGCTTAATAACTGACTTTTACATTTCAAAAACTGCATACTAAAGGAATGCAATGGAGGTAATCTAAGTGCAATTCAGGAATGAAATGGGATAACAAAGTGCAATTCATCTTTACTACCTTTTCTATTTTTTTCTCTTCAATTTCATTACTGGATGTTCTTGTCCTAAGTTTCACAGAGCCTTCTTTAAAAATATCTCCAAATCCAATTCCTCGAATTTTCTTTGGCTGTGCAATTGGTCCAGGTACAGTTTCGCTCCCATTTCCCGGAGAGGGTAAGGGTGAGGTAGGCCCGGTCAAAACTATTTCTGAAAGAGTAATTTGTTTTTGATGACACCAAGAATCACAAAAATCTTGATATACCCTTCCATAAGATCTATATTCTACATGGCTTAGTCAAAAACTGCAGAATAAAAATAATGAATTTAACGACTTAAGTAAGATTCATTTTATATTGATTTTTGTTGTTATTTAAAACAGTAAAGATCTTAAGTTGTAACAGTAAATTACTAACTAAGCAATCTAGGAAATCATATCATACAAGGTCCTTAACAAGAGCCCATCAAAATTTACAGTTCTTAGACAAAGACTGTATATAATGCAAGACTGAAACATTAAAAGACATGAAATACAACCATTTTAAAAAGTTATGATTCATACCACTACCAACTGTACTCAAGGCCACAATAGATGGATCCAGAAAGAATGGGAGGAAATGTGGAACAGAACTCAGATTTTTAAAAAAAAATTCAGACTTGCTGGCCCAGTTGAGACTACTACTCACTGAGACTGTCACCCTGTGATAACTCTTTCAACTTTAGACCAACATTATTCCTTGAGATCACCTTTTTAGTGAAGTAACAGCACTGGCTGATAAAATAAAAACATCACCCAGGTGAGAGCAAAAGGTCAAAAATGACTACTAAGACAAAAAGGTAAAGGTACAGGGAAACTCGAGTACCAGAAATAATACAACTTGAATGGAATGAATGAGAATGATGACACATTATGAAAAATGTAACCAATATCACTGGATAATCTGTATAGAAATGGTTAAATGGGAACCTAATTTGCTGTGCAAACTTTCACCTGAAAAACAGTAAAATATTATTTTAAGAAAGTTAAATGTTCAAATCTGATCAAAGTTGAGTGAGTTACTTAATATAAAACCTGTTCTATATATGAGTGAGGTTTTACCATACATTCAGAGCTTATTTTGCACCCGACACTTTGCTAAACACTGTATAGGGATTAACTCATTTTATAACCTCCATAAGTTTAACACTAAGCAGTATTAGTCTTCCTTTTACAAATGAGTAAACTCCTCTGATGTTAAGGGAAATTAAGGACCTTTCCCAAAACCAATGTTGAATTCTAAATGATCCTAAAACCATTGCCTTAAACATATGTCTCACAACCACAGAGTCTCCAATCACAAACCTGTTTTTTATATATTTTATAAGCGGATTACAGAAACAACTTATATGAACTTAAATAACGCTAACAAGTTCTATGGTCTGCCTATCATAGCCACTTTCAATGTTAGCTTAAGCCACATGGGTGATTAAAGTGGAGAAAATACAGGTAATCTCTTGCTTTAGGCCATTTTACTTTTATGGGAGGGGAAATAACCCTCTGTCATCAAGTCAATTTTGACTAATAGCAACCCTACAAGACAGAGTTCAACTGCCCCATAGGATTTCCAAGGCTGTAAATCTTTACAGAAGCAGACTGCCTCATCTGTCTTCTGTGGAGCAGCGGGTGGGTTTGAAAGGCTGACCTTCTGGTTAGCCCCCAAATGCGTTAATCACTGTACCACCATAGATAGCTCCTTAATTTTATGAAAGACCTACATTAGTACTTGTTTTTGCTAACCAAAAGAAATTCAAAGAGGATTTTCACTTTCACAGAAAAAGACAAAAAGCAAAACTAGTGTTCAGTGTTTGTTCTGCAGTGAGCCCTTACAGAGGCAGCACGAATCCTGAGCAGCGAGAGTGGCACTGCCAAGCTTCTTCCCTAGGAGGGATTGTCAGTATCTCAGCATGCAGCCTCTATAGCTTTGAACTATCTGTGAACACTGTAAGTTAGTGTTATTTTAGGTTTTATGTGCTATGTGGCATGATTTGGTAAGTTACTTTTGGGGTCTGGAAATAGTCAAAAATTTTTCCCATATAAATTAATGGTAATTGCATCTTCACTTTACACTATTTTGACTTCATAGGAACACTCTACTTTTGGATAGTAAGGGAAAACTGTGTATATTTTTGTAATATCTTTTTAAAGCAACTTCACTGAGGGAACGTTTATATACAGTAAAATGAACCCATTTTAAATGAATACTTTTTTTTTTTTTTTTAAGAACTATGTACTATGTAATACAACAATCAAGATTTTTTTTTCATTACACTTCCCACTTCCTCCCTGTGTTATCATTTCACTTGGTCTTTCCTTTAGAACATTTCTGTCACCTCCAAAAATATGCTTATATGCGATCCTAGTCAGTCTTTCCCATCTCTAATCTCAAGAAACTTCTGGTCTTCATTCTGTTACTATAGGTCTGTCTTGTTGTTGTTGTTATGTGCCATTGAGTCGGACCCAAGTCACAGTGACCCTTTCTTGGGTTTCCAAGGCTGTATCACTATGGAAGTACATTGCCTCATCTTCCTTCCGAGGAGTGGCTGGTGGATTTGAACCACCAGCCTTCTGGTTAGCAGTCAAGTGCCTTAGGCACTATGCTACCAGAGCTCCTATAGGTCTGTCTTAGAGTACCAAAATCAAAAGAATCGTACCGTATATAAGTCTTTTCTGTCTACTGCTTTTTCTGAGCAGATTATATATGAAATTCTTCTTTGGTGTTCCATGTATCCGTACTTCAGTTCCTTTTATTGCTGATTAGAGTCCACTATATATATATATATGTATAGGAGCTCTGGTAGCATAGTGCCTAAGGCACTTGACTACTCACCAGAAGGCTGGCGGTTCAAACCCAT